TTTCTAAGTGAATTTACAGACTACAGATATACAGTAGAGATTTTGCAAGAATCCTAAATCACATCTTCATATTGGCATGTGTTCTTCCAGACACTAGTTAACCCAGTCTAACACATCCATCTTAAGAATATAGTTGTATAGTGAGTGGTTAGATCATGTGTGATAAATCTGCTCCAATATTTCTATCTCCTAAATTTCAAATTATATTTTTATCTGCCAAAAAGATTGTGGTGTCAAGTTCTTTTAGTATGGGGTACTTCTAAGACTTAGTTTAGTCAACCACTGATAATAATTATAACCTTCATAGAACTCTGTTATGTTCAAAAATGATAAAGTTTGTTGATTCCAAATTTAACAGTTCTCCTTTGACTACTATTTGAAAGCCCACCCCCATACATATTGCCTGTATTTTAGACACTTTAAATTAATTATGTTTTCCATGGTTTAAATATGAAGGCCTCCTGCTGAAACTGACCTTTGAAATGCTACCCCTTGAGGCTCTAGGATCTGATGCTAGTTATAAATTTGGAGACAATAAGCTGTTGGGGGAGTGAGGTCTGAGGAGAACTGGGCTTTCCTTGTAGGCATCTTGCATTTGAAGAAAAGCAGAAATATTACTACCAGGCAAGAAGGTTAAGAGGCCTTTTCAGTTGTCTAGAAGAACTTAATTTGAAACAAAGTATGCAAAGATCATTCTTCCAAAAATTTTAATTTCCATGATCATCACGTTTTCTCACAAGAGGTCTGGTGGTATAGCGGGTTACATGGTGAACTGATAACCACGGGTATGCAAGTCAAACCCACTAGCCGCTCCAGGGGAGGAAGAGGAAACTTTCTCTCTCCTAAAGATTTATAGCTTTGGAATCCTAAAGGGGCAGTTCTACTGTGTCCTGTAAGCCTGCTTTCTATAAGTCAGAACTGAGTCTATAGGAATAGGTCTGGGATTCTTTTTATGATCATCATTTAGTTGTTGGTTTGTCATATTGTGATGGCTTGTGTGTTGCTGTGATCCTGGAAACTGTGCCACCAGGATTTCAAATACCAGCAGGGTTGTCCATTATACGTCCAAGGTTTCAGCAGAGCTTCCAGACAAAGATAGACTACGAAAGACCTGGGTATGTAATTCTAAAAAATTGGCCAGTGAAAACCTTATGAATAACAGAGAAACATTTTCTGATACCGTGCTAGAAGATCAGCCTTTCAGTTGTAAGGCACTTAAATGCCACTTGGGGGTTAATGCCTTACCACTCGAAATTGAATTGACCTTAAAACACAAATGGAATAAAGCCTTCAAGATCCTTATTTAGTAATATGACAGAACTCAAAACAAGAAGAAAAAATCTGCAAACAGATTTGAACTATTCAATTATAACAAGGAATACTGGAAAATACAACATAACACACTAAGATTGATGTTCTAGGCATCAATGAGCTTAAATGGGCTATTATTGGCCAATTTGTATCACATGATTATATGCCAAAGAGGCAAAGTGAAGAAGAGTGATGTCATATTTATGATCAAAAATAGCATTTCAAGATTTACTCTGAAATACAACGCTGTCAGTGGTAGGTAAATATTCAGATGATGTGAGATCCAGCCTCACATCTGGACAGGTCCTAAAGAATGCTTGTGTAATTGAAGGGAAGAAATTAAGAGACAGACAAAAGTTTTGGGATGCTCACCTCCACCATGGCTTCAGGAACCAGGTCTGTGCAGCGATAAAGATTGTATTTCCAAAAACAGCTTATATACTCTTGGATAGCTGACAGCACTGCTCTTGTTTATTTGTTCACCTTTTCTATGTCCTCAAATCCTTTCATGTCCCGCTACATTTGCGGAAACAAAAAGAAGTTTCCCAGAGCGAGGTCAGGTGAGTAAGTTGTGGGGGGCAAGAGAAGCATGCTGTATTTTGCCAAAAACTGGTGCACTGAGATGTCTGAGTGAGTAGGTGCATTGTTGTAGTGTCAAACCAGTTTCCAGTCTGCCACAAATCAGGTCTTTTTTTGTTGTACCATCTTTGTAAAACCTCTAAATAGATAGCTTGATTAACAGTCTGACCTAGTGGAATGAACTCCAAATGAACTATCTTTCTCAGATCAAAAAACAAAAATAAAAACAAATGAGCTTTGATTTCATTTGACCAGTTATTTGGGGGTGTGGGGGTGTGTGAGGTGATGATGGCATCTTCCACCAGCTTGATTGATGTTTGCTTTCGGGCTCAGAAGAATTGCATCATGTCTCATCACTAGTAATGACCCTTTAAAAAGTCTGGGTTGCTTCAGAGCTGTTCTTTCAAAGCATGGCATATTTCCAATTAAAGCTCTTTTTCTGGGTCAGTCAGAACCAGAGGCACAAATTTTGCATCCACCCTTCTCATTCCCAAACTTTCTTTAAAATTTGCTGAGCCATGCTCCAAGATAGTCCAGATAACTTCCCCCTCTTCAATGGTCCATCGTCAGTCTTGAGCACAAGTGCACGAATTTTCATCCATCTGGGAAGTTAATGGATGTCCATAACGTGGTTTATCATCAATCGCTATTTCACCTTTTTGGAAATGAGAAAACCACCAGTACACTTGAGTTTTTCCCATGCACTGTTCTTGTAAGTTGTGTTCAACATCATGAGAGTTTCTGCAGCATTTGTCCTGAGCAGGAAACAAAATTTCACATACAAGCGCAGTTCTCTTAAATTGGTCATCACAAAAACGAGGTTCTAGTGAAACTGCTTTAACAAAAAAATTCAGTTACTAGAGAGAACCTTCCCAGGTGCTGCCACTGGGTGCACTAACTCAGAGAGAGTTGCTGGATGCTCACCTAGCAGGAAAAGCGCACACTATGAAAGTTCCCCCCAGTGGAGCCTTCTCCATTTTTACTGTTTTGTTTTGCTTTGTTTGGGGAGGGGGCTGGTGTCAGGTGATACAATGTGAGAAAGACTCAACTGACCATGCTTGGTTTTGGAGTTAAAGTGACCTGGACCTAAGGAATGTAGATATACTCTTGGGAAAAATCAGAAGACAAACTCTGCCTTCAGCTCTGGGAAGAAAGGCAGAGTTTTCTTGTGTTTGGTTTTTTTAAGCATTTCGATGTTGGTTCAGTGACCCACTTCAGAATTCGGATATCCAGAAATGTTGGACAGGAGATTTGCCTGGTTTTAAGTAAATAAGTTAGTAGTCACTTGTTACAGTAGCAATGAACAAAACAACGAATAAAACTACCTCTATATTGAAACTATTACGTATGCGTTAGGGATTGATTTGTGTTCCCCCCCAGATATATTTTGAAGTCCTAACCCCCACCTATGAATACAACCTTATTTGGAATTAGGGTGGGAAGACCCGAATTACTAGGAGGTCGTTGAGGTGATTTCCAATCTAAGCCAGCTGTTTGCTGATAAGACCCAGGGCAAAGGTGAAAACATGAGGGCAGGTGCACAAACAGAAAGGCAGCTAGGCCAGTGCAGAGCTGTCATTGAAGTGACGCATCTACAAGCCCAAGAGCCCCGGTAGGGCAGCCTCCATCAGAGCAGGAGGAGGCAAGGCAGAATTCTACCCAGAATTCAGAGGGAGCATAGCCCTGCTGACAGCTGAGTTTCAGATTTCTAGCCTCTAAAGTTCTGAGAGAATTAGTTTTCATTGTTTTAAATCATCCGGTTTAGAGTACTGTTGTATGGCAACCCTAGAAAACGAATATAACATTTAGCTCTGGCTGGCCCAATGGAAGTCACATGACTAAACCCTAATTAGGATGGAGATTGGTAAAGCCATCCCCACCTTTGTGGCTTCGAACCTCACCTGTGGTTTATTGCTTGGGAATTTCCTAAACAGGGTTTAGATGCTTGATAGCAAACAAAACAACATAGTCAACTGTAGCTTTTTACTCATTAATTTGAAATTAGACAGCAATAAAAATAGTAATAAATTAGATATATTGTTTGTTGTCGTTAGGCACTATTGAGCCGGTTCCAACCCATAGCAACCCTGTGGACAACAGAAGGAAACACTGGCCAGGCCGGCTCCATCCTCACGCTGGTTTCTGGGCGCGAGCCCCTTGCTGCTGCCACTGTGCCGATCCGTTTTGTGGAGGGCCTTCCTCTTTTTGGCTGCCCCACTTCTCTGTTGAAGCCCGTTCACTTTGCGCAACCCTGCTGGCACGTGAAATACCACTAACGTCTCTTCTAGCGTCGTAGTAAACACACGAGCCACCCCAGTACAACAACTTACAGACAAGTGGTGGCAAGTTATATATAATGAACTACTCTCCATATTTAGTTAAAAAGGAGACATATTATAGTGCATATATTTTCCTTTTTCTAAAATGAAGGGCTCTTTTAAATCAACACTACTGACTCTTGGTTCTCTTTCTCGCTTGCGTGCGTGGTATGTAGACACAAGTCTTTCTGCAGGATCCACAAGAGTGGCTAACACTGGTGTCTGCTAGGATGGAGGCAAAGCAGACTGTTTTGATATTTGATTGATAAGATTTTTTATTCGTTATTTTATTAACCATATATGGAGTGAATGAGTTATAAAGTCAAGTGCACACGACCATACTACTTTTTATGTATAGCAATGCAATGATTATGAGGTTGATGGTGGGAGTGAGCTCATGTGTGGTGATGGACACTCAATTTTAACTTATTAAAGTCAACCTGACTTGTCTTGACAGACCCAGCTGGTTTCACGCTAAATTACCAGTCTCTGCTTCCCTGAAACCACCCTTTAGAGGAAACCCTAACTTATTATGTTACCATTTTCTTGGGCTGCTCCTTTCCAAAAGAAAGCTCCCAGGGTCCAGTCTGACACTAAGGACTCCATTAAATACCTAAAGATCTTCAGGATTCTCTACTGAGTATTATCTGACTGAACACAGGTTATGACCCCTACAGCCATGATTATAAAGCTCAAAAATTAGAATCCAATGTGATCTTCAAGGACACTGCTAGCATACTTGAGCAAAGACACGCATTTTTAAAATGTATGAAAAGTCACAAAAAGCAGAAGTATTTTATTATGATATTTTATTATGGGTGTCTGTACGAAAAAAAGATCAACAACCACATACAAGCTTACAAAGTTAAATGTCAGCACATTCTCCATGTTTTTGTGACAAAGGCAGCCCTGTAATTTGTTTTGTTGTTGTTGTTGCTGACTTTTGCAAAATGAAGGGAGAGGATCCTGAAGTGATATGCAAATCAATCTTTTTGACAGGAGACCTGAACAGATGTGTGCACCTTTTTTTGAGTTGAAGTCAACAATTCAAACCTTGAGTTTTAAAAGATAAAGTACATTACATAGCACCATAACATGTGTCTTTAAAGTTTTCCCAAATATTGGTAATCTTATCGAGCAATCGACAGGAAAGGGAGAAGCACCGTGAAAAGCATTTGATGCCCAAGATTAAAATCACCGCGACTTTCAAATATGTATTTAGATCCTTGCATTACCTCTAACTTTTTTTCCTACCAATATTTTAGGGAACAAGTCAACGAAATTCATAAGTTTCACCAACTTGTATAATTTTTTCTTCTTCTTCAGGACTCAGAATTCATCTGTGCTTCTGATCAGGTTGAGGTAGTTGAAACAGGGAGGTTTTTTTCTAATTTCGTGCTTGACTGGTCAAAAAGAATGGTCATGTTTTTACGGTGAGTGTAGTCATTGCTCTGCAGGTGGGCTAGGATGCAAATAATGTAACACAGTGTTATTGTAAGAGTGTTGAAGTTTATTTATTATAGCACCATTGAGACATTTTGAAATGGGAGTTGGTAAAAAAATAGAAAAAAACACACATTTGAATTGTAGTTGATGGAACAGCAAAAAAATATCATTATTTCTCAAATTATAATTTTTCCCCAAAATTTGGAAATAAATAACTGGAATTTAGTTGGTCACTTGTACTGGTTGACAAGATTAGAACAAGAGGAACACATGGCGTGTGAAACTTTTTGCTGGGTTTTCAGAGAGAGTTTAGTTATAAAAAGCAAACAGGGCCAACGTCCGCACCGAACTCTTGATCAGGGCCACCAATATCATAGGGTGCAATGTCTATAATCGGTAGTCTCATAGCCTTGCGTGTTCGATATTCGAAGACTGTCTTGCCCCATTCCCCAGTGTGTTTCTGTAAAAAGAGCAAACAATGTAAGTGATAATTTCATTACAATTGTTTAGACAGTTTCACTGACAATGCAAGTTTTTTTGTTTTTTAAATGCTGCTTTAGGGAAGTTGCCAGTTTGCCATGTCTATCTTGTAAGGTCAGCAGTTCAAATCCACCCATTTCTCCACACACAGAAGAGGAGGCCATCTGCAAAGTGAAAATGTACAGCCTTGGAAACGCTATGCAGGCTCATGATGAGTGGAATGCACTCAAGGACAGGAGCTTTGGATATCTTCCATTCAGGAATTGAAGGCTGTAGAGCCTTTCGAGATGGTAAACCATGTTTTTAATTAAAAGACTATGTGGCATATTTAATCAGCAGGGTAATCAACATAGGGTAGGCCATTTTTGAAATTTTTAAATTTGCTCATTATTACTGAGAATAGAGTCAGTTTACTAAGGAGTAAATTGTTCCCTCACAATGGCATTTCAAATATTAGATGTGTTTGTCTTATGGACATAAATAACAGATGATAGATATGAATTTAATCTCTAAAACTAAATGTTAATTAATTTGAAATTTTGATTTACTTAAAAATTTTATATCAAATTTTAGATGGAGTCCATTCAGATTATTTAAGACAATATCTATTATAAATTTAAATTGCTTTCATATCAACTGGTTCTCATTTGGAAGCATGTCCTGATAGGTGAGGGAGAGATATTCAGTCAGAAACGCTATCCGTATGATTTCAGTAGAATGCTATGTTGAGTAATCATAATCAAAGATTAAGAACCCAATAAAAATCAAAAGTATTGCTTATTCACTCATACTTATGTCTTCTACATTTTCAAAGTTCTCATGTGGAGCACACGATAGTACAGAGTAATACTTAATCCTCAGAAAAGAGCAATATTCAATAGTCTGGTCCTCAAAGACATCTACGGGTTCTACAGATGGTTTGGAGGTTTTTTGGTTTTGCTTTATTTTTTCCTCCAGACCAACACTCCTTCCTTTTAAAAAAATTCTCCCTCCTGTAAGATTTCATTGTCTCTTCATCAGAGATAACACCTGTCTACCTTCTAGCCAGGAGTCACCAAACGGTGTCTCTAAAACCATATGCAGTTCTTACCGTACATTCATATGGCTCTGAAGTAAAATTGAAAAATTTAAATGGGTATTATTAATGGGATTTCATAAGTTGGTAAAAATATATTGGTGGCTCTCTAGTAATTTTTAAATTGCTGTGAGGAACAGGATCGGCTCTTCTGTCTCAAAGTCTCTTGACCTCTACTCTAGCCTATTGTTTCCTCCGTCCTCCCTTTCCACCCAGTCTGGGTCACCATTAACATTTATTGCTTTTTCTAGGAAAAACTTTATCTTGATTTTTCTTTTACTTTTAGTGAAGTGGTCTCATGAAATATTTTTCCTGCTATGATTGACTAATTTTACTCATAATGTTGGAGGGGGTTCTTAGCCCTAGAAAACTTGGTTGGAATTTTTATTCATATTTGTTTGATTTTCTCCTAAACAGCATACATAGCTCTCACAGAATCATAAAACATTTGTGAGTCACCAATGTGGAAGCTCTATTGTTCAGTCCTTGTGATACTTAACATTCCCAACATTGGTTTTATATCGCTCATGCCAAATGCCATCTGTAGTGCCCCCCTTTTATTTCTATTTCTTTTCAAAATACTTATTGTGATGAGCATACAAATGCTGAGCTCACTATGAACTAAGTTTACATAAATGTTGCTACTTACAGTACAACCATCCTCCAGAACTGTGTAGGTGAATTTGCTATTTCCTTCAGCCTTAAATTCACCCTCATTAGACCCCATGAGCTTCAGGGCTTTCTTTACGTTCCCACTGGCATGGTCCATGTAAGCGATGCTATTCTTGCAGTGATATGTGATGTTCTGGGAGGCCCGGCTGGAGAGAAGTCGGAGGAATGAAAGCTGGACGTCCAGTATATCTTCAGGGAGTTCAGGATTGCCATAGCTGAACTGTGACAGGGAACACAGAAAACTGGTCAAACATTTTAGTTGTACCTGCATGTAGGCATTCATGAGCTATTGGCATGGCCATTGGAATATAGATTTCCCATAAACATTATACATGAAAATTTTATACAGATATATTTTAATTGCATGTATACGGTATCATATAAGAGTAGATAGGCTTTGAGAATTGAAAAAATGTTGTTTGAAAACAAAGTATAAGTCATCTAGCTCAGCTCTCAACAACAGGCAAGTTGTTAAAGTATAGACACCTATACTTTTATATATAATTATATGGCTCTTCTATTTATTAAGTTGGGTTTTTGATGAACAAGTAGTAGGAGTAAACAAAAGTAAGTCAGAATGAGGTAGTATAAATGGTATGTTGTTTCTCACCTGAAAACCACCACTCATAGACTCTCCAAACCAAATGTATTTCTTCTCAGCACCAGAATCTGTCCACCAGTTCTTACTTGGAATTTTCGAAGGACTGGCGTGTATGCATGTTTCCCCAGTTTCCATATTACAGAACACTTTGATCGCATCCAACTTGCAGCCTTGGTTAGGATCAATCCAATATTCTCCTGAATTGTCACAAAAAATGGAAAATGGGTCTTAGTTATCAAATCTGGTAATAAAATTTAGATCAGAATAACTTTGTATAGGTGCTAAGGCATTCACTAAGTTGACTGCTAATACAACTTGCATTTATATATGTGTATATTGTATTATGTCACTATACAGGAATGGCTTTAGATCAAATTGGTAAAATAAAAACACTCGCTATAATAATTAGAAAGCATAAAAATAAAAATAACATTTTGCCTTTGAACAATTAATAATATATTAAGTCAAAATATTTTGAGTGGTATATTATATTTGCTTTGAAATTTTTAAATTAAAATCAAATATGTACTTAATGTACATGAGGTGTCTAGTTCATATTTATTTCAAAAGCCTACTATACAGTTTTTATATTTAATGATGTTCCTAATTTCAACTTGTAGAACTTACGTCCAATGCTCCCTGGGAAGGCATTTTAAATTTTGAAATAATTTTACCTTTCAGATAGAATTAAGCAACTGTTTGAAAACCTCTAGATGGTTACACTATTCTACATAATGCTATACAATATTCTGAAATTTTAAAATTATTATTTTTATTTTGAAAGAAATATATTTTAGATCAAAATTTGCATTGGGCATTATGTTTAGTTTAAATTACCTGTATGTAATCCTTAGAACATTTGAGCATATAGGTTGCTTTATCAGTCCTACATCTTTGTGATGATCTTCACAGGCATACCAACTGAGTTGTGTTAACATTAGAACAAAATTACCTTGAAATTCTTCCATATTTGTAGTACTTATTAGCTATGTTATATTTTGTTTGCCTGCAAACCTGGCTTTGCCTTATGATATCAAGTAGTGTCGATTCAATGAAAATTTTAGGTATTGTATCTGCTCTAGAATATTTTCCACTCACAGTAAAAGTCCTCTCCTCCCCGGTTTATACTACAAGCAGCTCTCTGCCTCAACCTACCACTCTTCAGCTCAGGATGACAGAAGTTCAGGTCTCTGCAGTTCCGAGCCGGGTTTTTACGAGAGCCGTCTGGGCTAATGAGGTTTTCTATTTGCCCGTTCACGGATTTCAGTGAAGACATAATCTCTTCGGTGTAGACTTTGAAATCCATTGGATCATCTCCATAATAGGTGCCAAAGCCGCCAGCCTTCTCTGATCCACCAACAGAGAGGGCCGCGCTGCCACCACAGCATGGACCAGGGGCCCCAGGGGGTCCGGGAGGGCCGGGTTGTCCAGGGTGGCCTGGGGAGCCCTTGGATGAAGAGGAACATGCATCACTGAGGAGCACTTACTTTGTCTCCCCAAGAAGAAAATCTTATTATCCCAAGAAAATGAATTACAAATGTTGTGTGAAATTATTTCGTTTGAGTTTTTATGTGATCACATAGTAATCAGTTTTCAACTACTACAACTAATTACCATGAAATTAATAGTAATGTGCTGCATAAGAATTAGAGATGTTAGACCACAATTTTTATTCCAGCCCAGTGGTTCTCCACCTTCTTAATGCTGCAACCCCTTCACACAGTTCCTCATGTGGTGGTGACCCCCAACCATACAATTATTTTCGTTGCTACTTCATAACTGTTATTTTGCTACTGTGATGAATCAGATGACCCCTGGGAAAGGGTCATTGGACCCCCAAAGGGGTCACGACCCACAGGTTGAGAACTGCTGTTCTATCATGTGTTCTTTTTGCATCAAAGATGTGAACAAACAATTCATGAGCCTGGTTCTCCCTTTGCATTTTTGATCTGTTCACTTGTGTTTTAGTTGCCTCATGTGTTACTGGAGTCGCCAGTTTTTCTTTCACCTACGCCACAGGGGGAGATAGGGATGGGCTCGGGGTGATAGCCTCAGTACCTTCATAGGAATCATGGGTGTTTGAACAGTGGCACAGTGAGGTAGGACCACATTGACCTGCTAACCACCAAGACAGTGGTTCAAACCCACCCGCAGACGTAAGGTGGGGAAATGAAGCTGTCTACTCCTGTAAAGACTTAAAGTCTTGAAGCCCAAAGGAGTAGTTCTACTTTGTCCTATAAGGTCACTATGAGTTAAAATTGACACAATGGCAGTGAGTTGAGTTTGAGAGGTAAAATATACTAAATAAATGCAGAGCATCACAATTCTGATTCCAGCATTTGTGAGATCAATGTTGGTATAGTTCATTTAGTTAATTGGGAAATTACTCCTCTAATTTAATGTAATATAACTGTTAGTGCAAATAAAAAGTTTTTAAAAACTAAATATATGTTAGTGCCAACTGTTATGTTAAATTAAGTTATATATATGCATATATAAATAGCTTTTAAAAACTATATTAGTTAGTATTTACAGTTATATTTATAGATCTATTTCTGCCTATTGTCACAGTGCAATAGAGAAAGTCCCAATGTGTCAGTGGTCATTTGCTACATCAAATCAGGTGATTGTATTCTGTGGAACTCACTCTCTCAATTTTTAAAATACTGAATAGCATCTTTGCACATTTGGAAATCCTAGCAAATTAAATACACATATTTAAGGGATAGCTTACCTCTGATCCTCTTTCACCTCTGTTACCCCGAGGTCCTGGTGGTCCAATAGGACCTGGATGTCCACTTGTTCCGTCTTTGCCAGGAGCCCCACTGGGTCCCGTGGGTCCCTAGGAAAATATTGTGATGTCACAATGCTAGCATGTCTTCACACAGGGCAAACATGTGTAAAGTCTAGATGTTTCTGTTCCCTTCTCTGGGACTTACCCGGGGGCCTGCAGGTCCGGGACTACCAATTGCACCTTGATGGCCAGCAGGACCCTGGAAGGGAAGGAATGGTAAATATGAGAAACAACTTTTTTTTTAAGTTTAGGAAACTATACACTCAAGATAAGTCAATAGACATGGGAATCACAGTGGAAAATGGTTTCCTCTTTCCTACGACCCCCCCCCCCCCCAATTGGGTCTGACTGTTCTTTCACAAAAGCCCTTTCTCCATTGCTCGTCTTTTCTGGCACATGCTTTGAGAAATGGGAAACTGCTCTCCAAGCTCTGGAACACACAAATGACTACAGCACCATTTCTCTAACACATTGCTCACAATGCACACCAAACGGAAGTACCTACCGGAGATCCTGGGGCCCCTGGATTGCCAGGAAATCCTCGGTGACCTTTGATGCCATTGGAGCCACGTTCACCTGCTTCCCCTTTGTCCCCACGTGGACCCTGAGGACCCTTTAGAGGAACATTTAAACATGTGTCATACACATACGTACACATAGGAAAAGTAACATGGAATCTGTAAAAATCATGTCCACCTTTTAACGTTCTGTTGACTAGAAAGCCACATCAGTAGATACTGTACACGTGGCACAGTACTGCTTTGTAGCTGTTTGCTTTGTGACGAGTGAGGGCATGAGACACAGTAATTGTTGAAAGGCTTGTCCAAATAGATTTTAGACCCTGAGCAAGTTTCTGTATGGTCAAGTCAAGTTTAGATTCTGTTCCATACTTATGTAGTTTATCATCTCCCTTTTATGAACATGCCCGAGAATTACAGACTCCGTACCCTTTACGATGGGTTTAAAAAGCGGAAACAAATACTCACAGCGGGGCCACGGGCACCAGCAGGACCTGGAGCACCGGCTGGACCAGCAGGACCCTAGAAACAAAACAAGTTTTCACAATCACACACTCACACAGAGGTGCTCATTGATTGATGAACATTTTGTTTATAAACGGAATCTTTTGTTGTCATGCATAATAATATGTAAATTCCTTTTGGAAGTTAAAACTAGTTTCTCCTTTACAGGGGTTTCCCTGAGGTCTGAAGAGACAAACTCGCTGAAGTTCTCTTATTCAGCCTTGCCAGGACCCTTTGAATAGAAACTTGGTATGATTAAAACCGTTTCAGATTTTAGTAACTGACTCTTAAAATACTACAGCCAGAAGCTTCTGATATGTTCTTCCTTGTCACAGCTACCTAAGCCATGACAAGTATAAAAACTACACAACAAATGATAGCAGCTCTTTTGGTAAGCATAACTGACATTCTATCTAACTTTTTACTAAGAAAATAGACAAGAGAAGTGACATCTCTTAGAACTCACATTCTCTCCTCTATCACCACTCTTTCCAGCTGGACCAACGGGACCAGGTGGGCCTGGATGGCCAGGAGAACCAGGGACACCAGGAGAACCATTTTCACCACGATCACCCTGTAGGCAAATTCACAGATGGAAGATAAGTTTGATAAGCAGGATTCATTTCATTCTACAAATCTAAGGTACATGTGCTGTTATACCTTGGAACCAGGAGATCCGTCTCGACCTGGAAGACCATCTGATCCAGGGTTTCCCTGATAAAGAATGAGAAAAGGAAGTCAAACTCTTTGAAGCATGCCTTGTTGATGAAGGTGATACTGTCCTTGAGGGGATAAAAACTGATCCTTGAGAGTGACTATTCTTAGCTAGTACAGAGACAAAGGTCAAAGCATCTAACTCTACATGCTGTATAAACGTGAGACATGGCAGAAATAGAAGAAGAGAGCATGAATAAGAAAACAAGGCCTGACCTGGAGGGGCTCCGTGGTGGGCATGGGGGATAAGTAACAAAAATGTAAAACAGTGATCTATGTGCACGACAGGAATCTATCATTGATGTTTGGGATGGGGGAATCAATATTCAGAATATTCTCACACAAATGTCATAAATTGGGACTCTTGATGACAATTTGTTTCCTTAATTAGCTAGTGATCATGTTATTTTCTGCTAATGGTCACTCATTCAGTAAATAGTTCTGACTATAAAAGTAAAGACTCTTCTGAGGTGTGATTGAAAGAATATCTGTTAATAGCAAAGAAAGGATAATTTTGGCATGTGGCAATATCCACCATCTTAGAAATCAATATCCTAGTTAACCTTTGCTTCAGTTACTGACAGAATTCTATTAATCGGGGTGGACAATTCTTGACAATTGGGACTTACATCTCTTCCAGGTTCACCCGATGTACCAGCCAGTCCAGGAAGGCCCTGGGGGCCAGGCGGACCACGCTCTCCGTTTTGACCACTAGGCCCTGGTTTCCCATTTTCACCCTGTGCATGAGAAAGGAATAAGGTATATTTTGTTTTAATTTAAGAATGGAATATATATGTTATTATCAGATAGCTTTAGTTCCTGAGGGGGGTGGGGATCTTGTTTTCTTCAACTTGCAATGAATTTGTTCCTAAAACTTTTTCCGTTACTGGAGGCACGCCTTTGAGAAGAAACTTCTTGTATTTTCCACTTGTCCAGTGATTTTAAACACCAAAAATTTGGGTAATTACATTGACTATCATATGTAAAATACAGTCTAATATGAGATGTATATGTCGACATTTATAATCAGAGAAATAAGAAATGCAACCATGACGCGCTTTCACTGTGCTATAGGCTTATGGTGTCTCAGGATTAGGTTTCCTGGAACAAGAACACCCATTTATTAAGCATGTTCATATGAATTGAATAGTTTAGAATGGTAAATTTTATTCATTAAAATATCTGATATTTTGTTGAAACAAAGTGTCAAAGTGACAGCCCTAGTAGAAATGGAATTTTGTTACCTCACTTGTCAAGTGGATATTGAAGATGCTAATCACTGTTATTTAGTAACAACCAGGAAAGAAAATCAAGGACGCAAAATGACCTGAGTTGATGGGTAAGTGGATTCCATTAGAGACACTTATAGTTCAATAAGTTACAATAATTTTTCTCCTTTGACACAGGCAGTTAACAAACTGGAGAATGCTCACAATTTACCTAATGGTGGTTTTTGAGATAGCAAGATGTTTTTTCTATAATATATTTATTTATGTTCTTTTCAAGACTAAGATGAACATGGTTTTCATGTTCAGAGAAAACGAAACTATTGATGAAAAAGGTCACCCTTTGTATAATTTGTATATACAACAGGATAACTTGTTCGTTGTTAAATGATCTCTGAAGGCACTAAAGGGCTCAAGAACCCAGTGGAAATGGCTGTACTCACCTTGATACCTTGTGGGCCAGGACTTCCCCTACCACCTGGCATGCCTGGTGGCCCTGCAAGACCCCGTGCTCCGGCAATCCCTGTAAGTCCACTTGGACCTGGCGTTCCCTAGAGTGACAGATAATAATGTCTTGGTTCTTCTTTACATGACTGTATTTTTCTCTATAGAAATTGTAGCATAAATGTCATCAATCAATAGAGTAATAAAACTGCTCACCGGAGGACCTGTGTTGCCAGGTTGTCCTTTCTCACCTGGTGGGCCAGCATCACCTTTTGGTCCAGATATTCCGGGATTACCAGGAGAACCATTGCTACCAGGGGGACCTGGGGGGCCATCCTTGCCTGGAGCACCACTGTTGCCAGGAGGACCTGGATTACCCTACAAATAATAGATTGACATTTTAGTTATTTTCTTAAGAGAAATGGAACTTTTTCTTTTCTTTTTTTACCTACTTTCAAATAATTTTTAAGGACTTTATTGAAGAGATAGTTATCAATGTGCAACTTTCTCATGCTATCCACAGAGGAATACCATTTCTGAACTATATTATCCAAAGTGAAATGGCACTTACACTATTACCAGCAGGCCCGGGAGGACCACGAGCACCAGGGAAGCCCGCAGCACCCTGAAAAATGAAAACACTTCTTTGAATTTCAAAAGTTAACTTGTTCAAATTCTCCACTAGTCATTAAAAAAAAGCCAAACTATCCACTCAGTCAAATATACGATATATGGTAGGATCTGATTCTACCTCCCAAACTCCAAACCCTAACTCAGTGCCGAGCCGATGCCAGCGCATAGAGATCCTATAAGACAGGTGGAACTGCCCCCTTCAGTTTTTGAAACTGTAACTATTTTCAGGACTATAAAGCCCTGTCTTTCTTCCGGTGGTTTCAAACTACTGATCTTGCCACTACGACGCCACCAGGGATCCTGTGATTCCTCTTTGGGGTAGGTTGTGTTTTTACCGCCCCTTTAGAATTTATATATATCTCATATATCAGAGAGTACTTGGAATTTTATATGGTTTTTAGGCCTTTAAATGCATTTAAAAGAGTTTTACACAGAGGTTTATCAGGAATTGTCAATAATAGTTTAAGAGAATCAATACTTACAGGACCACCAGGACTACCACGTTCCCCTTTGCTACCTTGAGGGCCAGGTGGACCCTATATGGGATATAAGGGGACATTTTTTTCTGTAATTATCACAAGACTTGTTAAAAATCATTTTATTGGGGGCTCATACATCTCTATCACAATCCATACACACATCAATTGTGTAAAGCACATTTGTACATTCGTTGCCCTCATCCTTCTCAAAACATTTGCTCTCCACTTAAGCCCCCAGCATCAGGTCCTCATTTTTCCCCGCTCCCTCCCCGCTTCCCCCTCCCTCATGAAACATTGATAATTTATAAATCATTATTTTGTCTTATCTTACACTGTCCACAAAAATTTTTGAACCATCTTTAAGCCTTTGACAAATTAATTTCAAGGATTTGCTAAAATAACGGGAATAAGTTTATGTCTAGTCAACTAGGATGAAGACAGAAACCCAGACATGTTCTTATGAAGATGGCTTCTGGCAAGTACAATTAGGATGATCACGTCACCGGTGAACGTAAGTGCTTCCCCTTTGAGGGACGACAGACAGACGGTACTTACGGCAGGCCCGGAACCTCCAGGGGGTCCTGCGAGTCCAGGGGGGCCTCCTTCTCCTTTTTCACCAGGAGCACCTCTTTCTCCCTTAGAACCAGGCTCGCCGTTCTGCCCCTGCACGCGGAAAGAGCAAGAGCCTGTAAGCTGACGCCCGGCTTGCTCTTTTTCTGCACAATACAGAACGTTTGTTTCCTATGCACAGACAGTGAAGCCACATGGGAAAGGCAGACTCTGAAGACATGGGGAGATAGAGGTCACCAAAATATTCCCACGATAAAGGGGGATTAATAAGACGGTTTCTGCAGCGTTTGTATATTTGAAACAAACAAAAGCAAATGAGGTGGAGAAGCAGTTCATTCGGACTGAAGGTGACCTCCATGAGGGCCAGTACTGTGCTCGCTGGGGTTGGTACGGACAGCTTTCTTTAAGAACATGACTTGGAGCACATTTTAATTAAGCTATCATTTTATAACTACAGAACCTCACGGTGCTGTCTCAGACTCATTACCTAGGCAGAAAAACAGGGCAGGCATTTTAACCCTCATTTTGTAAAGAGGGAGAATCAAGGTAAAGAAATAAAATAATTCCACAGGGAATGAGTGGCTAGACTCAGGGAGAGTCTAGAATACATCTCTCTCTCTGGCAAGATGATCATTCTGGGCTGCGCAGCATACTTACAGGAGCACCAGGGAAGCCAGCAGGTCCTGGAGGCCCATGTTCACCTCTCTCACCCTACAGGGAACATATTCTGTTAAGTCACAGCATGTACACATTTATCATAGTACCCTTTTCTTCAGTTAGTGCATGTGCAAAGCTAACTCTTGGGGATGATCGTTTGACTTAATAACATGTTTCCGTCTGACCACAAAATCTGGAGTAAAAAACACCAAAACAATTTAGTCTGTCTGCCTCTCACTATGATCTCAATGACAAGAAAAGTAGAGTGAGCATTGTAAAGGGTTAAGACACTTAATGACATGTCACTACTAAATATGCCAGTATTTTTCAAATCTTGAAAACGAGCTCATTGAGAAATAATTGATTCATTAAAACAATATTAACTATATGTCTGACGTAAGTCTCAAGACCCTAAAGATAGAGAGAGATTTAAATCTAGAAGACACCACAGGCATAGATCCTAGGCGTTAAAGAAAGAGTTACTTGCAGATGCATGTTGTTTATGCAAATTTTATTTTTCAAGACTTCTATAGGAAAGTCTGACTTAAACTACTCTTTAGTGAATATTATATAAAAGAAATATAACCTTTCCTTGCATGTCATAAGGTTCCTAAAGACAGTACCTCCAACGGAGGATTAGGGCTCTGGAGTAAGAAATGCTAAAGAGAGAACCCAGAGTACTGTAGTTGCTGCTAGAAGAGGAGTAAGCATAGGTTGAAACTGTCTTTGCACTTACAGGGCCACCGCGAGGGCCGGTTGGACCTGGAAGTCCAGGGGCACCACCTTCACCCTGAAAAGAGAGCAAGAGAATAACTGATGTAGCCACTGTCTGGCATCCAGAAGCATCATATTTTATTTTCATTTCTGTATAATGGCAAGCATCACCTTATCTCCATTCTGCCCGGGGGGACCAGGGGGGCCAATGGGACCAACTGGGCCCTGAAAAAAAAAAGAAAAATATTTTTAATTTTTGAAGACAAAGTATCATTTTTCATATTAATCAAGTCTATAAAGGGTTACTTTTCATCCACTTAATTTCAAATATGATTTATTTCTTAGCTTGGGTGACATACTCTTTACTTGTACTATAAATACTACAGAATATAGGATTCCAGGAGAATGCTCCTAAAAGACAATAGGACTCAGCGGCAATCTACTGATCCATTCGTTTTTCTCTCTATTACAGAAGATGTAATATAAGACATGATAAGAAAATTAAAGTGCTTTGTTCTACTCCTGGATGATCAAAAAATATTTTGATGATCCAATAAAATCATCGTTAAATGAAGATTTTTCAATATTAATTTTTACTTAGCATTCATAAATAAAGTATTAGGTATCTTTTTGTTTTTATCACTGGTCTAAATTGTCAGGAGCATTTATGAATTTCTCTAGGGCAACTGTAGTCAGAATAGTAGGTATGAAATGGCTTACTCATCACATTTGTCTATTATAATAATATCCAGAAGACATTTGATAAGGAGAATAGAATTTATTGAAATGTGGCTTTGTTTTACTTTTATCTCTTATTTTGAAATAGCTATAGACTTACATTACACTTTAAATAAATGGCAACAGAAGACCCATGATGGCTGTCTTCTATAACCACCCAAATGAAGAACTAGGCCTTATTATAATCCTAGCATTTACTCATATTTTGTGAGTTATACATATATTTGTGTGTGTGCATGTAGCTCTATATAATTTTATCAGTTGAGTAGCATTATAAAACCACCACTACACTCAAGATATACAACTATACAATCACCAAAAAACTCTCTTGTAGTGTAAGTTTATAGACAAAACACTCTCTAATTCTCTCATCTTAAAACTTAAAAATCACTAGTGTGTTCTACATTTATAAAATGATATGTTTCATAAATAGTACATGAATGGAATCATGCATTATATATAGTTTTGAGACTGGTCATCTCTCACCTCTAGGTTCACACAATTGGTGCACGCATAGATAGTCCACTGACTTGTATGACTAAGTAGTAGTCGCTGGTATAGATGAACCACAAGATTACTGTACCTATGAAAATAGGTCTCTTAATGAGCAGAATCGACCTTCTTGGATCCCGAGACTCCTCATGGCTTGGTCCTTTATCTTGTTTTGATAATTTTCCAGAGTCAGTTCTGACTCCTAGTGGCCCTCGATCAGGTTTCTGAGGCTGTAAATCTTTGTGGGAGCAGAGAGCCTCGTCTTTCTTCCAAGAAGTGAGTAGTGGATTTAAGCCTCTAACCTTGTGGTTCACAATCCACTCTTGGGTCACTATAGAATTACCAGGCTGGGAGAGATATAAACCCTGCACTTTGGTCATCAAGACATATGGTCTTCTTAATGCCCAGGGGTTGTAAACTGTGATATAATTTACCAGAAAGAATTTAAATGAGAACAGAAACAGTTGAAGATAAGACCTGTTTATCACCAGTGCAGATGTGCAAAAACTCACCCTTGGACCATCTTTTCCTGGAGCGCCATCGATACCCGAGCTGCCTGTTTCACCCTGTAAAAGGCAATCCAGTGTAATAAGATATATGAGAGGAGTTTGACTCACGGTGAATCCACGTGACAAAATAGAACTACTCCCTAGAAGAGGTTTTTCCCTAAGGCGTGATCTATAAGGGAGCACAGCACTGGTCTTTTATCCCATGTAAATCAATGGCCTTGAAATGCCCAGCATTTGCTTAGCAGTCCAGAAAATTGCCATCGCTCTAAGATTATAACCCTGTACATTTAACACCTGCCCATAGTAACAACCTTTAAGACTTACTGTGATGTCTATTACACAGTCTGATAATCACTCTGAATAAATCTGATGACTTCCTATTAGGATTGCTTTTTTTTAAACCTATAAAGACTGTTATACAATAAGGAGAAATCAAGTCAGCACCTTGTCACCCTTTGGGCCTGCACCTCCAGGGCCTCCTCTCTCGCCAGGCATCCCTTGAAGCCCAGGAGAACCAGCAGGACCGGGTGGCCCAGCAGGACCGGCAGGACCCTAAAATGAAAGGAGAAATATTCATTCACAAGAAAGAAATGGCACGTCTTTTCTAACATTTCGATACATTGCATTTTGCGGAGTTACCTTTCCTCCTTCAGGACCGGGGGGGCCAGCTCCACCTCTAACTCCTGGGGTCCCTGGTTGTCCAGGAGCTCCACGTTCCCCAGGGGCACCAGAATCACCCTGTCATAGGAAAACGTAAAATCTGAATTAGAAAAAGTATGGCCCTGAAAATAAATGATGCAAAACCATTGTTCCTTAATCTCTGTCCTTTTGAAGAGGGTAACTATATTCTCAATGTTTATTTTTAAACAGCTTGGAAATATGTACAGTTATTAAAATATTTTAACCATGTTTTGGAAACTAGCAACTCAAAAGAATGAACCCAATTAAGTAACTGTTCATTCATATTTGGTCTGCCTGCACATGTCTGAACTACCTTTGAACTATTTAGTATTATCCTATTCACAAGAGTAAAGCTTTTTCTCTCCAACCAGTTTTATTTGATAGAATTAGTACACTGACATGAGTTTTCCTTCGATAATTTCAGGACCACAGTCGCTCCTATGGTGTTCATTCACATCACGGAACTGGCCTTTCTAGGGGACGCAAATGCAATGAACTGCCTTCGTCTCGGGATCCCTAAGGCCAATCACCAAACACTGCACTATGTTGCTTTTCTAAAGTGAATGTTAGTTTGTGGCAGTAAGTTTATATCACTAATAAAGTTCTCTGTTCTGCTCTGAGGAGACGAGAGAATAGATGAGAGGACATTTACCTTGCCTCCTGGTGTTCCAGGTGCACCTACATCACCCTTTGGACCCTAAAAGATGGATGTTATTCATGATATGAAAATATGAGCAAAATTCATATTTGATTCATGTGCATATTACACAACTAGTAAAATGTTGAAACTATATCGTTTTCTCAATGCATTTTATTTTGTGGTAAAATTGAAACTCTATATGATAGTTACCATTTAAATATATTTCCATTATTTTGGAAGTGGGTATTTCAACCCTGCATGATAAAACTCTGATACCATGGCAAGAGAAAATGCAAACATTAACACTTCATAAATGATTGCTACTCATTTTCCTTATTGCCGAGTTTTGAAAAATGGCAGGCCACTTACGGCTTCACCAGGTTTTCCGTTTTCTCCAGGAGGACCTCCAGGACCAGGCAAGCCCTACAAAGAATCACAGGGGCACCGTGTCATCATGGCAAGCATTGCTTCTTCAAGGTAAACATGTGTCTACAACTTATTTAGAAATTGGTGCAGACGGCCTCTGTAGAGGTAGAATATTTATGCTAATCCAAACCAAAGTCAAAAATACAATAAGCATCTCTCACAAACGTTTCACATATTATTCTGTTCTTTCTATTGCTGCATAAAAAAGTGGAATTAATGCATGTGAAATGATGGATTTAGAACTGGAAGTTTATATCATAATGTTGGATTGTGTGAGTTTCACTAGTACTCTAGAAAAATAACAGCAATACAACAATTCTGAAATGAACATGGAATAAATATTGCCTGCCATTTACATTCAAGGTAAAAGGCAAATTTAAAAATCAAGCTTAAACAAAGTGGCAATACATGAGTGGAACAGCACATTTGAACACTTCATTAAGTCAACAAATAAAGAAATCAAAAGGAACGATTTAATTGCTTGATAAACGCAAGGTCCCTGATTCATATGCAAATAGTAAGTTCTTACCTGTAGTCCAGGTGGGCCCGGGGATCCTGCTTCTCCCTTGTCGCCAGATGCTCCCTATGTAAAGAAAATATAAGGAGATGACCCACTATGAAATACTCTTTCATGTCCAGTCTATGCAGCCTTCCGTGCAGCATAAAATTCATTGCTGATTTTAAAAGTAATGGCATGAAGAAGGGGGCCACATGGGCTGGGATCGAGGTGCAAGACAGGCACGGACGAGGTAAACATCAGTGGGAGCATTTCATGAGTTACCTAAATAGGCGTGTTTCAAAACTGCTTTGGGGAATGATAATGAAATAGTGTCTGAAACAATGTAATTCTTGAAGTCTGCCCTTCCCCCTGACGACAACTCATGTTCACTCATGATCTACACTTGATCTTAGACAAAAAGCTGGGAAGCGATTCACCCACGATCTATATAAATAAACGTACGGTAGGTCCTGGGGGCCCCTGAGGTCCAGTTTCGCCATTCTTTCCTGCAGGGCCCTAAAGGAAAACAATAGTTAGAGAAACAGAAATCATAAAGATAAGAGAGAGAATTATATACTTAAAGATTAGTGCATCTATTAGAAGGCGAGACACACATTGATGAGAGTCAGGTACCTGAGGTCCAGGTCCTCCAGGGCCACCCCGTTCACCATTCTTGCCAGGAGCACCCTGCAGAAATGTCCCATAGTTAATAAGTTCCAAGGGTAAATCACTAATACTGCTTTGGACTGCTTGCTTCACACTCACAATCCACAACCAAAGACTATCTCCTAGAGCCTGTTCTTATCGCAAGTTGCCATCAATTTGATTTCAACGACTGGCCGTTTTGAGAGCTAGGTCTCTGTAAATGTTGAAGAGCTGGGAGAAAAAATATTTTAGCCCTCTTCTCACATGCATTTGGATTTTCATATATTTTTCCTGCTCCTTGAGTGAAGATCAAATTTGGGGCATATCTACATTCCCAGATGTAAATTTAAAGGCCATTTTCCAATAATTATGTATTTTAAGCCATGAGCAAAGACACTTACATCGTTTCCTTTAGGACCTGGGAAACCCATCACACCAGGCTGACCTCGGGGACCAGAGGGGCCAGGAGGACCTGGTCGACCACTTTCTCCTTGACTTCCCTAATACGAAAAGAAATAACATTCGTACGAGTTCGCAAAAGATAGGAATCAAAATATGTATTCAGGCAGAGGTCACAATATGTATTTTGTGTTACATTGAGTTTGTGACATGAGGTTTTTCAAAAGGTACCTACCGGAGGGCCTGGTTTCCCATCACTGCCTGGGCCTCCTGGACTTCCGGGCATACCCTGAGTAGAAGAAGGCAGTCAGTTGATTTAATATTATGTCTCCATGAAATAAGCATATATGTATTGGAAGAGTTTTTGAGATTTTCACATACTTTTTTGGGTTAATGTTTACAAGTGTCTTGGTCAAGTGCTCTGTTCTTCCTTCATCTATTCTAAGGTACAGTTTCTTGAAATAATTTTTTGATTTGTTTTGAGCCTTATCAAAAACCCAATCTGACTTCAGTTATCTTTGATCCTTCTTTATTCACTGTTAGCCTTCCTCTAGGAATGGAGTCAACTGAAACATGAGTCACTGTACCCTCATTCCTGGACCTCCAGGGAGACCGTCCCGGCCGGGTTCCCCAGGACTTCCTCTGGCTCCCGCAGGGCCTGGACCACCACGTTCCCCAGCGGGACCCTAGGGGAGAAATAAGTAACCAAATACTTAAAATATCCTTGAATGACCTGGGCATTGACAATATTTATATCAAAGCAAAGAAATTAATTTCTCCTTAAATGTGGTTATGCAGCTGAAATGCTACATATAAAATCACAGTTATCTATTAGCTTATATTACCACATTAGACAAATCTTAAAAGGACTATGAGGAATTTTAACTGTCTTGTGAAACAAACAAACCCCACAATGATTAGTGGGTTTAATAATATATGGCTGTAAATAAAAAAGTCAAATATCTTTAACGATATGCAATCATATTTGTGTAGTACTTTAGAGTTTTCCAAGAGCCTTTAGACATTTTTGTTTAGATATTCTGTACTAGCCTGCATAATACTAAGATCAACGTGTCCCAGTTGGTACATAAATTAAAGGCTCCTGAGAGATTGACTTATTTTCATTACAAAGCTAGGAAACGAACAAGGACTGGGAATCTGTTTTACACAGGGCTCTATTTTCCTAAACCCGAATGTATTTCTTTCAGAAATTAAAGTTTTCATTCATGAGAAATATAGAAAAAATGCTCCCTTGTAGGAGTATCATTCTGGAGAAGAGACAAGGAGTTATCTACCTTTTCTCCTGGAAGACCATTGGCACCAGCAGGTCCTCGGAATCCAGGGGCACCCTGGGAATAATGAAAGCCAAGTCATTTAGTCGAAAGCACTTGCCGTAGTTCGTGGTTGGCAGTGTAAACATTGATGTGTTATAGATTCCTTTAAAGCAATAATTGGGTTTAGGTCCTTAAGACAAATGACATTTGGTTGACGATAACACTTATGGGGATGATAGTGCTTTGTATTGTTCGGGCCTCCAGAATGACGTACCCTTTCTCCCACATTTCCTGGGAGTCCATTTGCACCAGGTTCTCCGGGAGACCCGTCTTTGCCATCTTCACCCTTAGGCCCTGGAATACCTGGAGAACCAGCTTCACCCTAAGCAGGTGACAAAGAAATGGGGACAAAGTTGGATTACATAATTTACACATTTACTTCCCAATTTTATTTCCTTCTTATAAGAGATAATCATGTCGGGGAGGAAAACACTTACCCGTTCACCACGTTGTCCCGGTTCTCCTTTGGCACCATTTTTACCCGCTTCGCCCTGAGTGAAAGGAAATTTTGCTTTAGAACAGGGAGGCTAGACCACAGGCTTCGTGTAGAAGCCCTGAGTGAAATCCGACTACATGCAACCGAATGGGAGAAAAATGATAGTGTTTTCTATTTGTAATGTAGGAATGAATCCCCATCTATTGGGCCACAAATTAAAAACAGGCTACTTACTGGACCACCCCGAAGTCCAGGAATGCCGTTAGTACCAGCTGGTCCCGGAGGGCCTCGAGCTCCCATTAATCCTGGAGCCCCAGGAATGCCAGCAGGACCCTAAAAATAACCCAGTAACATTAACGTTGAACAAGCCAAACTTGAACTTTCTTTTCTGACTGTTTAATTAAAACATCACAAATCTATCGCTAGATAAAGTGCCAAAGGAGCCAAGAAGACATATGTGGGTGAGGGTTGCGGGGTGTGAGCAGCTTACCATTTCCCCTTTACCGCCAGGACTCCCGTTGGTCCCAGGGGGGCCCTAGAGAGGAGGAGAGCACGTCGATGAGAGCACTAACAGGATAGTTGGATTTGAAGTTGCTTTAACGTGGGAACATCAATTTACTGGGGAATACAATACCTTATAGAAAGTAGGTGGTGTTTTTTTCAACTATAGCACACCACATAAAAATATTGGCAAGAAGAGTTATCATGGTCTAAATATGTAAAGCGCAGCATACACTTCATCTAAGTTATTAAATACTGCAATTAAATAATAGGAAATGTTTTGGTCTTGTTTCTTCCCTCAATTATTATAACTGGGTCTTAATTCAGGCACATTCTCCAAAGTATCAGATAATTTATCTATTTTCCACTTCACTCTGTGCCATATAAGAATTAAATTCTAGAAATGTGTATGTAACCTTCAAATGTGAGCTTTTTTACTATGTAAGTCAGGCTTTACCACATCTAGTAGAGCCATTGCAGACTCCCAATCCATTTTTTTTTCAAAAAGAAAATTTCAACCGATTGAAACATATGCATTTATGAGTTCAGAACCACTTTCCCTATCAAGTGCTTCATGTATTACTTACCGGAGGACCTTGAGCACCAGCATGTCCCTGAGGTCCAGGTTCTCCTCGTTGTCCAGGGGAACCATTCGAACCAGGAGATCCAGCAGGTCCAACTTCACCCTAAAAGATAAAGGCCTAAGAAGTCAGTTTCCTTTGCCACTGAGATCACTAAGCCAGTTTACTCTTAAGTCTTCTTAAACCTATCCCCCAAAGGCTAACCTATATGACTGAATTCTGTCGCCAAGCAGGGACTATTCACCATGCAGACAGAGAAAATGGCAAATACCAAAAGGCTTCCAAAAAGGTTCATGAAAACTCCATTATCCTCTAATTCCATTTGTCCGTGAACTTTTCAAAACCCTTTCATTTGTGATAACTGTGTTCATTTCACTTCCCAGGAAGAGAGACGATAAAGAGAGGGGACAGGAAGTGCCATCTGGGGAGCTGAATGCTGGGGTAACAAGCCACTTTAATCTCAGGAACATGCTTTCTAAGATTAAAGATATTCTTTGAATTGGTAACCAAAATCGCTTTTAAGAAACAACTCAATATTCTTTTGCTGTCTCCTAGACACATTTTATATTCTTCTATAAACCTGCAGACACACACAAACACAAAGCTCACTGTTATTCAGCCAATCCCTACTAATAGTGACCCACCAGGACAGTGCAGAACTACTCTATAGGGTTTCAGAAGCAATTGCCACCTCTTTTTCCTACCGAGGGGCTTTAGGTTTGAACTTCTGATCTTTCAGTTAGTGGGCAAGCACTTTAACCACTGCAGCATTAGGGCTTCTATCCTTCTAGGAATGCATATTTACCTTAGCACCAGGGGAACCAGGGAATCCCGCCGTTCCTGGAGGACCAGGGGGGCCCTAAAAGTTAAATACAATTGTAAGAGGTCTTAATCAAATAAATTAAAGCTAACACTACTAATTAATAGTAAGGAAACCCTTACAAAACCATAGAAGACATTTCTGCAAATTAATTATACAGAATATGGAAACCTATTGCCAGTAAGTTTATCTTGACTCATAGCAACCTATAGGACAGATTGGAACTGTCCAATAGCGTTTCCATGTCTGTAATCTAGTTCAGAAGCAGACTCCCATGCCTTTCTCTCACATGACCAACCAACTCAACCAAACTCACTGCTGTCAAGACCATTCTGACTCATAATGTTCAGAGAAATGAAGAGTGAAATCTAAAGTTCGAAAATCAGAATTCTCCTTGGTGGTTTTTTTTTCACTCTGTAATTTTTCCAGGTGATCTGGGCTGTTGTGCTCTCTTCTTTAAAATAATGATTACATTATTATTTTTATCAGAGTATCACAATCAATATTTAATTGTCTTAGCCAATAGCGGATATTAACTGGCACTGGGAGCAGTACACAAATGCTAACAATGTGTCGAGTCTATTAAGGAAGACCTGATCTAGATTTTGTTTATGGGTTCTGTGTCAATTGCAGTCAGGTATATGTTGGCATTGTTGGATATGGTTCTAGAACAAAATTAATATAGCTATGTATCTAGAGAGGGCGAACATAGACACTGATAGACACACACACACACACACACCACCACCACCACCACCACCACCACCACCACCACCACCACAATGCATACACTATCTCTCATTCACCTGGAGCAAAGCCCAGCTGATAGAATGTTACTTACTGGTTGACCATCACCACCTCGAGCACCGTCATTGCCTCGAGACCCCTAAAAAGAGAAGTTTGTCAAGTATCTTCCTAATTTGGAATGACTTGTCACAGTTAAAATTCTGACTACAATTTTGACTCAATTAAGTCAAAATGCCCTGAAGCACATTTAAATCTGCTTACTAATTGTAGATGTTTATAGACAAACTATTAAAATTCTGCTCTAGTCAGCAACATTTGTCTATGTGAAGATTCGAGTCTGTCTTTCAAAGAACTGCACATGAATACCTGGCGCTAACTCAAAAGGCTTGTGGCCATCGGATTGATTAAAATTCATATTGCTCCAATCACACACAAATTAAAAAAACTAAAGCCCCTAAGTAGAGATACGAATTATAAAATATTCTTTCCCCTGTAGTTCTAGTAGAAATTTAATGAATGTGACTTTGAGCATGATGTTATAGAAATAACACTGTCTGGTGACTTTCACAGCCTGGGACTCTGGCGAGGAGTCTCGTATTTGTCCCTGGGGGCGGGTGGTCATCGGATGCCCTCAGTAGCACACTTACAGCAGCTCCAGGAAGCCCAGGCCGTCCCCTTTCACCAGGACTCCCTCTGGGACCCTGCAGAGCAAAATGAACAGGATGGGTTTACTGGAGAGTCTGTCAGAACTATTGACTGTGAGGAGGAGTGTTAGTAGCTAAACTGAAAAGTCAGTGATAAGAAGGGTCATTACCATTGGTCCAGGAGATCCATTTTCACCAGGAAGACCATTTTCACCCTAGAGAAATGAGATATGCCATTATTCTGTGTAGTCAAATCCATTTTATAGATCTTTAAGTACAGCATATTATGAAGAAATTGTTACAAGATCTAAGGAAAAGGTACATTTTAATAAATCAGATGCTGGTTAGCAGTTTATCAGGAATCTCCATTTCTGCACTTTAAAAGCTTAAGAACCAAACAGAAGTGTTCACGGAGCCACACTAGGATATTCTGTAATAGTTAACCTGAGCACTTTGATTTAACTTTCCTGGAAACTTTAAGATAAGACCTTAATTATAATTTTTCATCATCCACAGGATAAATTCAGGTAAATCTCAGAAAAAAAGCTAAACTCCAAAACACGAGTCTTAGGCATAGCTATACAATTTTTCATGTAGCTAATGTATGGAAACATTCTTCTTTGGTGATTTACCTTTAATCCAGGAGCACCAGTTTCACCCTTTTCTCCATTTCGCCCATCAAAGCCCTATGGAGCACATGAAAGGAGTACAATTTATTAACATTTGTTAGTGATCCAGATTGCTCTACATCCATTACATTGAACCTTTCATTAGTAGTTTTTATCCCTAGCAAATTTTCAAACATTGACTTACATAATGTAAAATGGTTTTCAATGGGTTGAAGACATTGGACATTTTTTAATAGCACAAAGATATGAACTAATTGCAGAGTATTACTCAGCTCAAAAGAAAAGTTCCTTGATTTATTCAGTGAGAAACATCAGACCTCAGTTTTACGTCTATTAAGATGCTATATTTTGGGTCAGTTGGTTAAATCCACTTGTTTTAACATAGAAATAGGAACTAGATTCAATAAACACTGAGAATTCTTGACAAAATATTTCTATTTTTTCAGATAGTGGTGATAAGAATGGTAAATTATACTTCTTGAAGGATTCCCATACTCTATCACTTTGTGTAGAAAAACTAGTTGGTTTGTTAAAAATATAAAGTTGATAGACTTTTATTTTTCTATGAAAATATTGCACACCTATTCAAAGATTAATATGAGTTCAAGGTATTAAGACATCAACACTTTTCTGAGTAACAGACAATTGGGTGTCAGAACCAGCCATTTTGGAGACGACATACTGAATTTTCCAATAAACTTGGTTAGTTAAAGAAAGACAGACAAATGGGACAGATTATAGACAATTTAAAAATGCTACTTACTCTATGTCCTTTTACACCGGGGAAGCCAGGCATGCCAGCAGGACCTTTGATACCCTAAAAATAATTAATAGAAATATTATTAATAAAGCTGCAAACAGAATCACAATCTAGTAATAAAATGATTTTTACTTTTAATTGTATAACACTTTACAAGCGAAGGTAATTGTGCATTGCTCCAACTGCTTTGTTGGATTCTCAAGACTTACTGGCGGCCCAGGCAATCCTCGCTCTCCAGATCTTCCGGGTCTTCCAGATTCCCCCTAGGTGGAAAAATAAAGAATCCATGTGTGCTTGTGCATGAGAAAACACATTACAGACAATTAGGGAACTAATGTCTTTGTATTTTTATCCTCTGTTCGATGACTAATCAAAATAGCTGAGCTAAAGGTAGAATTGTTACAGAACTTTCTTAGTAAATGGTCTTTGGCCACCTTGGTATAAATTAAGGAAAATATTACAGTTATCTCTCCTTACTGACATGTCATGACCATCCCTCAACCCAGTGCCATAACATAATGTTAAAGATTTTTACACTTTTGAGCTTACAATGTCCTGATAGTCATTTCTTCTTTACAGAGAGCAGAAGGGAGAAACTTACTTCTTCTTCAGTTAAGCAATATATTCACTAACTAAATCTTGAGAAGATCAAGCAGGTTATTTGGGGGTTACTACTACTGTGGAATTTAATAAATGGTGTATCTAAAGTTACAACTATCATACAGCTAGTCACCGATTAATATAAGGTACAATGTTGTTAAGACATAAACATTTTTAAAAATAAGCCCGCCCCCCCCCCCCGAGATTCTGGCATATAGTAAATGTTATTTAGAATATTCCAAGCTGAATAATGAACCTTAACTATCTCAATCCACCCCTTGACTACTTGGCACTTGTACACACCTTGCCAACTTGGCACCTGTATCTACATTCAATCCTAAAAACTTACATCTTTTCCAGGAGGACCAGGTAGACCAACACTACCAGGAGGTCCGGGAGGACCCTAAAAAGGAGAAAATAATTTAAAAACAGCAACTTAAAACAGCAAAATAAAAGCAAATGTACTTGTAACATTTTTTGTATCAATTTACTGCTATATACTATGTATATTCTTGGAAGGAATCTTCTTTTAGAAAACACTTTCAATGTTACCGTGAAATTGACAATTGGTTGATATTATACCTATCTTGTAGCTAAAATGTACTATTTATTAAATTTATTTTAATAGATATTAAAATCATCAAGTATCTATATTTTATGTATTTATAAATCCAAATGTACTAATGACATGCCTTTCCAAGTACTTTGTAATATTGAATTAAATGAATTACACCTTGTTTGCTTACTTTCAGAGCATATTCACCTGGAGAACTTTATTCCCACTACCATATATTGGGTTCTGACTCTTAGTGACCCTCTATGGAATTTCCTAGCCTGCAAAACTTTACAGGGGTCATATAGCCTCATACGTCTCCCTGGGAATGACTGCTGAGTTTGAGCCACTGACTTTCCAGCATATACCGGACAGCACCACCAGGAGCACTCTATTAAATCGCACTATTCCAAAATGTTTAAAGATGTTATGTAAGACAACTAGATGTAAGAATGAACTGGGTAGCTAGAAGAAATGAAACTTATATTTAGTAGAGAAAGGGTCTGTATCCACATTGGGAAGTAGACTCTCTGATGGCTAATAAGCCAGGAAATTCAATGGTGTCTCTCAGATAATTAAAAGAGTTGAGAAATTTTGGACATTAATTCAACTATTTAAAAAAGACTATTTTCTTTTTTAAAATTTAATCTATACTTGGTAGGGATCAATGAATATATTCCAGAAACTGAAGCTGGTTCCTAAAAGGAATTTTAATTTACTAAATATATATTAAATTACTACTTACAGCAGGACCAGCTTGTCCCATTTCACCAGGGGGACCTTGGTATCCTGGGGAACCCTAAAGGATTGAAAATAGGTAAATATTTTGAAAGCAACATTATTCATTATTCATATTATTCATTTACATCTTAAGGATGATGAGAAATCAGGATTTGTTAATGTAGATAATTTGCTTCCAGTTTATAAAAATTGGACTATGTATTGCCAGGTCAGAATTAAGTTCATGCATTCCCTTCCATTATATTACATGCAGTAAAATGAATTGTCTTGGACTTGAAGCCCTATACCATGTCAATTAAATATGTCATTCAGAATTATCAAAGCTTTTATTGTTACTAGGTATTAGTGGAAGGGCATTAAAAGCAGAATTTCAGCACCTTTAAAAGAACAGTACGTTACTTGGGTAGGACATATCTACTCATTTGTGATTATGCGTGTTGTGAATGGAGCAATCAAAGTAGGAATTTCTATGAATTTGCTTTGTACAATATTCCTGAAGAAGAAAACACCACCAAGGGCTATACTTACGGGAGAGCCAGGATGGCCTGATGTCCCAGGGAGACCAGGGGGGCCTGGGGGACCCTGGAATGTAAATTTGAATGATAAACACAACATGAATGCATACAAAATATACTGTATTCGTGCATGAAAGAAATGATTCTATTTAAATCTGATTTCGCCACCTTTAAAATGAGAACAGTTATATTTCCTTAAAGTATTCATGACTCTGATTTGGGAGCTCTACAAAAAAAATAGAGCTCAGTTAAAAAGTCACCACTCTAACTTAAATTCCACTGGATCAGTAAACATTCATAACAGTAAAAATATGTTTCCATTTGTCTCCTAAAAACAGGGCTTCAAAATATGAAATAAGTCAGTCCAACGTGCCGTGAGAGGCTCTGCACTATTCGACTGATGGGGGCATCGAAGAACACACTGTTCCCTGGCAGAAATGCCCAGTATTATCTGCTCACTTTACATTTCCTGAGCTGTATTTATAAAACAGGGCTAGAAATCAATCCCAAATGTATAGCCACATTGATATAAATGTTGCCGCATGAATATTTTATCTTGGCAGTGGTAATGTGTGAACCACGGTAGCATGACTACGTGACTCATCAGGGCTCAGAAATTCAGATGAAAGTAGGAAATCTTCAGTGTTGTGGCATGTTATTACTAAATGCCGGTGAGAAATTTATGAAACAACAATTTGTAATGTAGATGATTTGTTTCCAGTTATAGTTTTGGAAATCACAAATAAGAGACCAAAAACCTGCGCAGTAATCTTTCATCATCCCAGAGAATCTAGTCCATTATCATGTCTTCCTTCACATGTGCCTACACTGTTACTCACCGGGATGTTTTCTCCTTCCTTAGTTCTGGGCTGGACCAACGGTCCTTTACGTGGAAATCCTATTGTATGTGCATGTGCCCAAGTGGAAATGTTTTTGAAATTTTCTTCGATCAAATTTTAGTCCGTTTACATGGAAGGTAAACCCTTCAGATAGAACGTGACTATTTAATGCCTGAGCCAATTCTGCAAATGCCTCTGGGAATCTCTGTGTTTGAGTTGAAGTCTTGTTAGACAGATTGCTATGCTGAGGAGTCACCACTTGGTGGGCATCCACAGAGTCGCATTTAATACACAAACACAAACAAACAAGCATTCTGAGAAACTGCGTTGAGTAAACAAAACGGAACACCCAAATAAAACAGCTACAACTCCAGGACTACCTAGGAATGTCAGCTCTAAGCATGGAGGGCAGCAGACCCTCCGTGTAGGTACTTAGACCGACGAGGAAGGACAGGCGGTTGAAACAGTCACAAAGAAGTGATGAGGAACCAACACAGCAGATAGAACACGGAGCACCATGATGCCAGGGTGTACCGATCCTACTGTGGTTAATTTCCTAACAATATTGCCTTCCCAAAATAATAACCATCCAAGAATGGACAATCTTGAAGCCCAGTTAGAGCTCTGGAATGATGAGAAATATATGTACATACAGGTGGCCCAGAATAGACTCCTCCTCCTCCTCCGCCTCCGCCTCCAGCCTTGACATCATATGAATCAAACTGGGGAGAATAGTTCTGTATCAAAGAGACCAGACATTTATGAACAATTAGTATGTACCTTACAGTTCTTTTCAAAATTATTTAGCAGTTCAACATTGACTATTCACTGATAGCTTCTGCATGCCAGAAAGAATCATGACAGTATTTCAGTTGTTTTTTGTCCAGATATTCTTGGGCTTTACCATTGGGGCTGGAGAGGGACGAGAGGACAGTTTCTCTAGGTTATTTGGGGAGTTGACGGTTCATCTCTCAAGCATGGCATATATGTTAAATGTCTTCTGAGAAAGGGAATATGTAAAGACATGGGAATATCAGTGATAACAGTATGAGGAAAAGTGGACATTTGTAAAGGACCTGGAGCTTGATACATACAAGCACTAAATCAAAATTTGCTAAAACACAAAAGCAGGGAACAGATGGTGGGAACCCACAATGTTGAGAAGTAATATAGTCCAAAGACAAGGGAATGAACTAGGTAGCTTTGAAGGTTGGGAGAGAAGGATTTTAGCCCTGTAATTTATTACCTGACCACCGTCAGGACATGATTGGCAGATTCCAGGAGCACCGGGTGGACCAGGAGAACCTGGTTGTCCAGGAATACCAGGGTCGCCATTTCTCCCAGGAATACCAGGAGGACCCTAAAAAAATAAATTCAGAGATTAAAATATATAAAAGTCAGAAGATCTAGTGCTTCAGAATCATTATCACACTGTACCTTCTTTACCTGACAAGAAGATGAATTGATAGGTAATTTAACTTCTTGGACGTAAACATATTTTTATCTGATTCATGCTAATCATTTAGGTGTAATTTGTTTTCATGGAGCACTAGTGGTGGCATGAGTTAAGCATTGTGTTGCTAATCAATTGGTTCAAATCTACCATTTCTCAGGGGAGAGAGATGAGGCTGTGTGCTTCTGTAAAGGCTTATATATAGCCTCAAAGCTATTCGAACAGTTCCACTGTGTCTTAGATGGTTGCTGTAAGTCCAAACTGACTTCATGGCTTGGGGTTTAGTTTGGGTATTGATTATTTTCACCCATGATTTATTTTTTCACATTGAGAGTGAAGATAAAGTCATTATATGAAGTTTGAGAACTTTGAATATTTACATGTACAATGAAGGAGTCTGTCATTTTAAGTAGTAAAATAAATGTATCCATCCTAAAAGTTCAAATCTTAGAAGGATATGATGACAAAAAATATATAATGGAAACATAACTGTCATTTCTCATTTCACTAAAGACTCTTTACTTACTGGATCTCCCTTAGGGCCTTGAGGTCCAATGCCATTAGGTGTATAAGTAGGCTGATAAATGGAAAAGACACAGATTAAAAAACCATAAGAACAGTTTTGTCATGAAGTATGTCACAATTTACACAGTGACCTCTTAAATCTAATCACACTTCACCCCAAGTATTAAATTGGAACATTCATCATTCACTGGTAATATCATTCTGATTGTTTGAAAGACAGGGCTCAGGGCTTTCGGTATTCTCAAAGGCTTCGAATGATCAAGAAAAACAGAACAATACATATTTTTACAGCAAAGAACACCCTAATAAGCATGAAGAAGCCAACGGTTCTGAAAATTCATAACCCACCATGTACTAAATCACAATCTCACCAGGCAACATTGTATTCTAGTCACTGTCTTGATGTATGTATGGCTATATCTCTTTAAACTGCCAGATTTCTCCAAGGAAAGTTGTTCATGTTCAAGTGCAGACACACACACTATTTTTCTTATGGTGGCTGTAATAAGTGCTAAAATAAGTAAAATTGGGCCTATATCCATATCTCCCCCGAATATCAGCTGGAAACCCAGATAAACTTAGCTTTTAACTATCTTAAGAACCTAAAAATTAGCTGCTAAATGATCATAGCATATTTTCATTCATATTCATTCTTGATTTTAGTAGAGCTGAATGTAGCCCTCAAATAAGTATTGTATGCCTTTTTCTTAATTTTGAAATTGAGACACATCAGGGGAAAGAAAGTGTTTCCAGTATTGCTTTTCCCGAGTTGGTATCGTTCTTTAGGCTGTGAAGCACTAGGGGCATTTAGACCATGATGTTTGCAACGATGGTATCACTGCAGGACTTTGAGCTAGAGCTGTTGCCCCACTGTATTTGGACATTTCATTAAGAAATAAAGTACCATACTCAGCAAAAATTGTACTCCTAAGGTGATACCCTAAAGAGACTAGAAAATGTCTGGCAGATAAGAAACATCTGCTAAATGAATGCGGTGATTCATTTTATTGTGAAGAGAGACCCTAGCAATACCTGCCTCTAACTGCCTATTGAATGATTTATGAGGAATTCAATATATGAAAGAATAAAGTAAGCCAAAGATTGTTACAAAGCCAAAATGCACTGTAAGAGCTATTCGTGCAAATATGTGGATTTTGCAATTTGCCGTTTAAAAAAAACCCAAACTCACAGATACCGGAGGCTGCGGGCAAACTGCACAACATTCTCCAAATGGGATCTCAGGGTTCGGACAGTCTAGTTCTTCGTCATCACAGATGATCTCATCACAGAGAACAGCCCCTGAGTCACAGACGCATATTTGACACGGCTCTGGTTTCCAGACATCTCTTTCCACGTAGTTCTGACCGAGATGGGAGCATCCTCCGGTTATGACTGGAAAAGAAGTCAAATGGCATGATGCCTTCTCACATTTTGCTTAAAGACATTTACAAAATTATACCTCCCTGACTATGTTCAATAGCTGTCTAAGCAAAAGTCTCTTTTGAACTTGAAAACTGGTGAGCCTTTTCTGACAGTTTACCAACTGAAAATGCACACACAAAATCAAATCTGAAAACTCGCGGATGAGATTCAGCAACTTGATAAGAATATTTGCTTAAGGAATGAAAAATAATATCTCCTAGAAGTTCAATGACCTATGTTTGGATCTCAGTTTTCTCTTAAACACAAAGTACGGGTTTTATGTTAGATATGCATTTGCCTTTCAAAAGAATTAGCTATGTCTTTTAGAATTTATCATATTTCTTTCACATTTCTTAGAAACCATAATAGACTTAGAGCTACCATTTATGAATAGTCAGCTAAAAGAATAGATGTGTTTTTAGGCATTGGCACATACAAATCACATTTTAAAGCTTAACAGACCCAAACACTTGAAGATATTTTGAAAGAGATCATTTATTTTATTTTCAGTAAATGAATTTGTGAAGGTGCCAAAAAAATCATATTTTTTGCAGAATCTGCTAAAAAAATAAGATAATGCTTACAATCCCAAATCTATTTATTAAATACATCAGTATTGGGATACAATAATAAATTTTCAAGGTCAATAGGTATTTAATTTTTTGTTTAATGGGGATTTAATTCCAATGACCATCATTAAAGTCCACAAGTATATATTTATTGTTTGTGCAACTGAAAAGAACTTTCTACTTAATCACTGTTCTTTGCTTTAACAGTCGATGGGAATGCTAAAGAATAAAGAAGAGTTTATTATTAATTCTGAAGAGTTTTATTAACCTAGTTGAAAAATTTGGGGGGGCAGCTAAGCTTCTCTTGTCTGTGTAAAAATTCTTTCCAGACTTTCCTGGGAGCAGATTGTCAAAACTCATTCTACGTCTTCAATGTCGGTGTTCGCTCTGGTTGTTGGATATCAACAGGTACACGCCAGGGTGTAGCAACATACTGTATGCCCCATATCGATGTGAAGAGGCTTACAAATCACCGAAAAACAAAACACTTCAAAAATAGGGGGGGAGCTTTTTTTTCCCTCTTTGAGAATAAAACACAAATATTGGCAAAGAACAATAAGGAAAAATATGAATCATTACCATGCATATTTGTGGCTTAAAATGGTCAAAAATTTTGCTTCAACCAAGATTTGCTTCCTAATTATATGTTAGGAACTGAAATTTCAGCAGCTATTAACAATGAATCAGCTTAGGGTTTGCCAACGTAAAACCTGGTCTCAATTCTTAAGACATCAGCTGTGGCTTGTGGTTAAATACAGCTTTAGTTCTTAAAGAGTACTATGATAGCTCGCCGGTAATTGAGTAAATAAATAATGTTTCTAACCATCTGTAAAAAGTTTGCAAACAACAAATGGTGTCCTGTTTAGTACTTTTGTATTTTGTGAGACATTGAAATTTTATTTTCTCAAAGCCAAGATCTTTGAAAAGTCTGCCAAAGGAGGCCTGCTTAGGCGGAAACAAGTGCTTTAACAACTGCGCTCTGGGCTGCTCTGCAGGCCAAGGGCCTCGGCGAGGCTTCCGCCCTCTTCTCCATCTGGAGATGATGTGCAACCAGGAGGATTACCTCCTTAAGTAACAAGTCAGTCTTCTCTTAACCATTTATTTTTATTCTTTGTTTATGTTTGTATAGGTTCGACTGGCTTAGTACAATTAGTGAAAAAAGGAAAACAGAATTTCAGATCCTATCGACTAATCAAAATGGGCTTGATCCCCACTTTCATGTAGGGGACAGATAGAGCGTTGGAGACATGATTCAGGAAGCTTTTAGGAGTTCGTGCACATACTATGTTACAAGTTCCCAATGCAACTTACAGCAAATAAAAGGGAGCAACATTGTTTTACTGCAATTTTTAATAGATAAAAAAGAATCTGTCTGAGAAACGATGTACAAATGCGCTTTACACAATTGATGTGTGTATGGATTGGGATAACAGTTGTATGAGCCCCTAATAAAATGTTAAAAAAAAAAAAAAGAATCTGTCTATTCTTTCTGTTTATCTCCATTATTCTAGGTTCTCATCCCTGTTTGAAGCAAATAGGTTGGATTATTGGAAAGAAATATTACCTAAGCTTTTTAAAAGAGCATTTCTTTCTACTTAGTGAAGATAAATAAAACGAAATACCAAAATGTTGACGTCAATGTAAATGCAGTGAACCTATTTGAATGGTGCTAGGAAAGATGTATTTAAAAGAAGAACAATTACTTTCTTTCATGTAATTATGAAAGGTGATCATATCAGAGGGTCTAGGCAATAAACTCATTTGTCTTCATAAGGAGAACTGAAGTCTTATGCTTTAAAACTGTTCTTTTTCACCAAAAATGATGTGAAATTTTTAATAAGATGTTATGATTGCTCAGTGAACTAAAAGCACTGATTGTTGCACCTTTTGTTCTTTGCTTGGGGCCCCCCTTTCTTTCTATGAATCTTCTTTGAAAATTTACATCTATATTCCTGCAGAATAATTTTGGATCAAGACATTCTCACTAGTAATATGAACTGCAAACCTTACCCTACCCTTGAAAATACTAGTTTAAAACGTTGCCTTCGTTTCTGGATCAGGATGTTTCTATGCTTGCAGGGTACCTGTGTTATAAAAAGCAAGTATCGGACACTGAGGACACAGTATACATGAAGGAAGGCGGCAGCTAAAGCTAGATCGATTCATTTCATTTTAAAATTATCTGCTCTTCATGTATTCCTTATCATCTTGAAATTAACATACACCTTTGATAGTCCGCGTTTTCATCCTCCTGTGCTTATGTCTCTAGAGTGTCATAATATCACTAGATTTACAATATTTCCCATTTGCCCTGCAAATTATGTTCAAAATTGAGCACATTATTGGCTTATAAAATTGTATGAGAATTATTAGAATTAGGTTTTATCCAATATTATATAAATAAAAATTGTTGTTTAGCCTCTTGCTTTCAAACTCTATTAGAAACCATCTATAGAATTTTAAAAAGGCAAACAGATGTCATTTTAAAACTTGAGTTATTTTAATGTACTTTTTTTCTGATACACAGTGACTCATTAGGGAGGAGAAGAGAGGCCCCTGTGAGAGTCTGAGACAGTGAACCTTTCACAGGAGTACAAGCCTCGTCTTTCTCTCTGCAGCAGCTGCTGGTTTTGAACTGCAGGCCTGGCAATTAGCAGCCCAACATGTAACCAGCTCGGGCACCAGGCATGACTTTTCATCCTTCTCACTTGCTGAGGAGTTAACATGGTGAATATGTAGCTTGTCAGCAAGTGAGAATCCAACTATTCTAAGTAAAAGAAAAAGTTGGCTTGTTTGAGAAAATAAAGATCATTACAGTTTTATTGACATAGCTTATTTCATATACACTTTAAAAGAAATTTGACTCTTGTGAAAAATCAATTCTAGAAACATGGTTGAAACTCAGTCCCTATGTTCTCTATGTCAATCACCCTTGTTGAAGACAGGGAGAATTGTAGGCAGTGTCATTTAGCATACTGTTCTGCATATGACAAAATATGGCTGACAATATTCCTACTGGAAATCAAACCTCTTACTCAAAGGTCTCCTAGTTCTCAGTTTTAGCACCATAGCCTAGCTATGTGTGTGAAAATCCTGGCATTGTAAAGAAAAGAGTGCTCCAGATTCCAAAGAAGTAAAATATTATAATCTTTTGCATTTAGAAATGAGATACTGAGATGGTGAAATAACTGTCATGTCATATAAGTCCTGTCTTATATATCATGATTGTAGAGAAGTGTGTGTGTGTGTGTGTGCATGTGTGTGTCAAAATACTGTTAACAAAAATATTAAATACAAGGCAAATTTAATTTTTACTACTAAGCAAAGTAATAGATTTTTCAATTTTTTTTATACTCGTTTAAACTAAATCTTCTTCCAACTCCTCATGTCACTTTGTGTCTTGTTCCTTATTGCAAAAATCCGTGTCTGAAATGTATTTGTGGCCACACAGGTGATGATTAGATTAAATCATCTCCATCCTTGGCTCTAAATTACAAAATAATTAATGAAGATAGCGCAGGACATAGTCCATTCTTATCTTCCTTTATTTCCCAGTTCTCATTTTTAGAGCATCAGAGTAAAACTTTTAAAATGATCACAATCTATTCTATTTGTTGATTTTATTTAAGTTCTACAAATGATAAGTCGGGTAGAGTTTTTGGACTTTTATCATTGTGATTTGAGTAGAGTATATTAGGCTTGTCTCAGAACCATTTGTTGAGTAAAAATGATCCACATTTGTGGAGGAAAAGTACTATTCTCCTAAAATATTCGATTAAAACTTTAATTTTGCTTTGGTGACAAATTTTTTTCTCTTCTTACTGAATCCTTGTCTCGAGAAAGATGTTCTATGATCTGCACATCTAAAAATAACAGATAAAGTAAGCTATCATAGCATTATTTTCCCTCTACATCGGAAAGTTGAATGATTTGTAAATGGGGGTGCATAGCATTTACATTGTCTCCAAGTGAAATATGTTTGATTTTTAAATACCACATATGCTAGGAAGACATTTTTATTACATAGAGTTCTAGATGTGGGTAGGAAGATCTTAAAATATGTTAGATGAGGTAACAAAATGGGCTCTGCAGGGAGTATGTTTAGGCCTATATAGATGAATCTTTTTAAATTTGAAGAGGTATCTTTCATGAACAAAGTAAATTCTGTTTCTTCTTGTCCCCACCAAAAGCACAACAAAACAATAAAAAACAAATGAACAAAAAACCTATAAATGATCATTTCCAGATGTTTCTGTTTTATTCTTTATAGATACATGACTTTTACGTCTCCAAACAAAAATTTTATTTGAGTAATTAACAGTTTACTCTACCAAAGCAAAACAAAAAATAATTAGAAAATTTTAACATCTTCTATATGCCATAATCATTTATTGTGTCTGT